TTCGCACGATGAAAGTAATCAAGCAGGGAGTCATCCTACAGAGCCCTTCCTGGGCTCTGAAAAGGATGCGGGACGACTGTCCCGTATCTCGGGTATGTCAGAAAATCTCATGATTACCCCTTGTCATAACCCACATATCAGTTTCATTCCCCAATACTAACCTACTCCAGGACTGTCCTCGTATCTCAAGACGGTAGATGGTGGTGATGACCAAATCCGTCTTCATCGAGGCACCCTCTCGTCATGTGCCTCGCACATCTGGAGCTGGACCGTCTGGGTCCTCTCTGTTCTTGTTGTCTCGACGATCATCTCATCCTGGAACTCCCCTGCCTCTGTACCTGCTGCCATGACTTCGACCCCGAAGGCCCATGAGTCGATTCCTGTTCAGGCCTCGCCTCTCCGCAAGCGAAGCACCTGCGAGACTGGAGGTGTCAACAAGGCTGAATATAACACTCCTCTCCATGTTGGAGCCTTGTTCATCATCCTGTGCGTTTCGACGCTTGCTTGTGCTTTTCCTATCATGGCTACCAAGTTCCCAGGTCTGAGGATTCCCACTCGTTTCTTCTTTGCTGTACGCCATTTCGGCACTGGTGTGCTGATTGCTACGGCTTTTGTCCATTTGCTCCCCACTGCTTTCATCTCCCTCGGGGACCCTTGCCTGAGCAGCTTCTGGAACCAGGACTACCCTGCCATGCCTGGTGCCATTGCTCTTGCTGCCATTTTCCTTGTCACTGTTATTGAGATGGTCTTTCACCCGTCTCGCCATGTTTCACCTGCTGAGATCACGTCTGGAACCGACAATGACGCTCAGAATTGCAACTCCAACAGTGGCGGGTGTATGGGAGGCACAGGCATGCTCCCCATCCGGGACATGGGGCCTATTCGTGGACGATCGTCCAGCATTGGCCAGGGACTTTCTGTCTTGAATAGCAGAGATGAGCGATTGGAGAATCTGGATGAAGAAGCTTGCGAAGATGACGACAACGCCCAATCCGGAAGAAAGAACCTCGAGGAGACGAGCCTCGAGGCTGTACAGATGCCAAGCTTGACCCCAGAGCAGCAGCAACGTAAGGAGCTTCTCCAGTGCGTCTTGCTTGAGCTTGGTATTCTCTTCCACAGTGTCTTTATTGGCATGGCGCTCAGCGTGTCGATTGGCAACGAATTCATCATTCTGCTCATTGCCATTGTCTTTCATCGTAAGTTGACATATGATGTTGGAGGTTTTGAACTTGGACTGACACGATTGTAGAAACCTTTGAAGGGTTGGCTCTGGGCTCTCGAATCGCTTCCATCAAGTGGCCTCAGGGCAAGATGCAGCCTTGGTTCATGGCCCTTGCCTATGGATGCACGTAAGTATTGAAGCTACCATTCGTACTGTATCGTCCACTAATTGTAACATCAGTACTCCTCTGGGACAAGCCATTGGTCTTGCTACCCACACACTCTATAGCCCCAACTCTGAAACCGGCCTTATTGTCGTTGGTGTCATGAATGCCATTTCGGCCGGACTTCTCACCTTTGCCTCGCTGGTTGAGCTTCTTTCTCAGGACTTCCTCAGTGACGAGAGCTGGCGATTCCTTCGTGGCCGTAAGCGTATCTACGCTTGTCTCTTGGTATTCTTCGGGGCTTTCTTCATGAGTCTCGTGGGTGCTTGGGCCTAATCGGCCGAGTGCTTCACTCAAACCTGACTTGCGTGCTTGATGATTCAGGAATGCTACGTCAGGATAGGATTATTTGTGATCCTGGTCCTTGCCAGTTGTATGGCTGAATTCTTGGTGATTTTATCAACCTGTTCTGCATACTTCGGTTCAGGACTCTTCCTTTCTCTCCTCTTCTTGACTGATAGTGGCTGGTTTATTGTAAAGCCGGATGCATTATCATCTCTGTCGAGCTTCGCTTCTGTTTCAATGGCCGTGCTGCCCTTTTTACCCTACTAGAGTAATATCCAAGTGGGCTGTGGAGCACAAATCACCCTCCTTATATGTATGCTACAAAAGAAGCAACAAACATCTTGCTATATATCATATTGTGTGAGTTGTCAGGATGGTTTTAGATCGAGCTTAAAATACACACTCATTTGAACAAATCACAAGAGTAATTATTCTCTCAAAACAACAAGACGTAACTCACAACTGCACCGTAAAACTTTTTATATGCGTATATACCAAACTATCATGAAACAGTATTCTTATCGACAATACCCCTAGCAAACTCTCCGAAAGTGAGGTGCTGCTTGATATCCACCTCTTCACCCAAGTTAGGCTGAGTAAATACCGCCAACGTGTTACGCGCGATCTTTCCATCACTAACACTAGCTCTCACGCCCCTGACAAAGTGAGGCACAGCCTTGAAGCGACCGGCAGTAATACGCTCCAGAGCTTCACCAGTCTGGAAAGCGATGCAATCGCGAGGAATCTTGACCTGAACTGTCTCGCCTGTACGAGACTTGATGTACAGACCAGCTGAAGGATCAGGGGACGAGGGAAGCTCATCAAGGGGTGGAAGAGAAGCACCGTTCAGGTTTGTAACCTCTGGTACAGCGGGACTTGTCTTGTGCTCGTCGATAAACATGGCCGATGTAAGACCAGTTAAGCATCCATGGTCCAAATGCGTAGCACACCAATCGTCCTCATCACCGCCATTGGCAGCAGGGTCATTTTCTTGGGGGTAGTAGTGCAGCAGACGGGCCTTGGTGGTGCTAGAAGTGCTGACAACGTGCTCTAGGTATCCGGCTGGATAACCCGGGATATCCTCTTGCGCAAAGCGGTCGCAAGCACGTGCGACTAGGACCGCTACGTCAATGATGAGGCGGCATAGCGAGGTGACAGAGGGCTTGAAGCCTGGAAGGACATTTTCTGGTGGCCATACATTGGGGGCGAGATATTCGGGGAATGTGTCGATGGAGAATTCCTCAGTGGGTTTGGCGCATTCGAGAGACGGGTCGATGTAGAATGCACAGTTGGCGTAGTATGAACCCTTGAAGGTATCGACTTGACCATTTTTGAGAGTCTCTTTTCCGAGAGACCAGCCAGTCAGATATTTAGCTCTGGCGTTCTCAAGCTTCTCTTGGCTTGCGTTAGTGAGGGCTGTCTAATAGTATCATGACAACTTACCAAGTTCTTCCTTGGGGAGGTTACCGAGATATGAGGCGTAAGAGAGAGCTTGGTGTCTCAGTTCGGGAAACTCTTTGGGAACGTCTTTTACGACGAGAATTCCGAGAGAATCAGGACCAAAGGCTTCTTTGAGGGTTTCGAAGGGAATGTTACCTATGGAATATTAGACTCTGCTGTTTTATAGGGCGAGGGAGATTCATCATGACAGCGGCGTTACCTTATCATGAAGGTAAGAGGTACGTACCATCCTTGAGGTCCTGGAGAGACACGGAGACAGCTTGAGCTTGGGCAACCATTTTGACCGAGATACAACAATCAATGACTCAACTTATACGACAGATAAAAAGGAATAAATGGAGTCAAGGAATTATTCTCATCTTTTATTTCTTTTTCTCTTACAGAGGTTACTATGAGTTGCGGGGGAGTCTCGATTACATAACCAATCACCTTCCCGAACAGCTCAGTTCCCGTAGTGGAGCTCGCCGTATCCCGGCGTTGACCGTCGGCCTCAACCTCCCTGTAACTATCTGAACTACATCATCAAGCTAAACCTCGAATATCCGATCATGGTCAAGCCATTGACATTCAAAGGCGACAAGAAGGTCAAGAAGCGCAAGCGAACAGACCCCGAGAAATCTCAACGCGATGGCGTAGACGACGAAGCTGGCACACTGCAAAAGACGGGCGAAGAGGCAGAGAATGACGACAGTTGGGTTTCTGCTGAGGCAGCGACTGATGTTGTTGGGCCGATCATGATTGTTCTACCGACGGATGAACCTTCAGCGCTGGCGTGCGATACGACGGGAAAGGTGTTTGCGATTCCGATTGAAAATATCGTTGATGGGAATCCTGCGACGGCGGAACCGCATGATGTGCGACAAGTCTGGGTCGCGAATCGCGTTGCTGGAACAGAGAGCTTTCGCTTCAAGGGCCATCACGGAAGGTAAGTTAATCTACTCATCTACAACTCTACCTGTAGCTAATGCGCAACACAGATACCTCTCCTGCGACAAAATCGGTCTCCTCTCAGCCACCTCCGAAGCCGTATCCCCCCTCGAATCCTTCAACGTCATCCCCACCGGCGACACACCCGGAACTTTCCAACTGCAAACCGTGCGCGACACATTCCTCACCATAAAAGCACCCAGCAAAGCATCCTCCAAAGCCGTAGAGGTGCGCGGCGACGCAGACGCCATCTCGTTCGACACGACGTTCAGGATAAGAATGCAGGCGCGTTTCAAGCCCAAGCTGCGCGCGTCGAAGGAGGAGAAGGCGTTGGCGAAGATTAGTCGGAAGGAGTTGGAGGAAGCGGCGGGGAGGAGGTTGGATGAGGATGAGGTTAGGAGGTTGAAGAGGGCGAGGAGGGAGGGAGACTATCATGAGGCGTTGTTGGAGATTAAGGTGAAGAGCAAGCATGATAAGTTTAGTTGAGGGTACAAGGTTCACGGGAGAAGGCAATATGGGAATATAGGCGACTCAAATCAGAGGTTACGGTTAGTAGTGATGCTTGCGGTTCCTGGTGCCTTCGGCTAACGCCTTGTCTTAACAAAGGCCATCAACAGCAGGCTCAACGTTCATGGATTCAAAAGTTAGGGGCTTGGATGGCACGGTTGATGGAGACTATTACTCGTCTCTGAAAACAGATAAAGTGTGCTTTGGCCGAAACTTATGCAGCCAAATACTCATGTCAAATAATACATAATGAAATTGCATCTTTATAGAAGCTACCATTCCTTCGTGATTCGGTGCTATTTTTGAACAAACTGGGACAAACCTACAACTTCTCAGTAACAAATCTCCAGCCGAGATATGTCAGAAGCACAGCGACGTTGCATAACTTGATCGCTCCATTCTTTATTCGTTTTATCTTCATCTTGTTTTCTTTCCTTAATTGGGCCTCCAGGCCTTGACATTTCCGTCCTCACCGGCAGTATACACCACATGGGCCTCGTCAAAGAAGCAGAAAGACCTCACAATCTCCTCCCCATGAGCACCAGGCAAGCCAACGCTGTTCTCCCGATCCAGCGCCCATCCCTCGCCATTGGGATTCTTAGCAAGAAAGACAAGCTCAAATGCTTGTTTACTACATAACGTTAGCACCTGTTTCACAAAATTGGGAAGTGTGGTCTCACTCTTGAGCTCCAGCACCGAGAATAGCTCCGCTACCATCCATCTTGGGCGTAATGTCGGCGACGTACTGACATCCCAGAGCAGATCTCATATCGCCAAAGTCCTGTACGGCATCACCGTTTGCGCGCTCCTCGCTGACATCATAAAGAGCACAGCGCTCATCGTGAGATAGAGCAGCTACTTCTGTCGCTGAAAGCCACGCAGCACGGTGAATAGAAGCGTCGACGTTGCAAGTCTGTACTGTGAGATCGTCTTCGTCTGCAACGCGGGTATCGTAAACGTTGACGAGACCGTCTGTTGAGCCGGAGAGGAGAAGAGCTGAGTTGGAGGGGTTGAAGGATAGGTCTGTTACGTCGTCGCTGTGGACTTCTTGGTAGTGTGCTTTGGACGATGGTGTTGAGCGGACGTCCCTGGAATTGTTAGAGAGGAGTTTTGAGTAGTAAGGAGGGAGCTTACCAGAGATGGATTGATGCTGTGTGGTTTTGGAGTTCTGTTCCTACGGCGATGGTCTGTGTATCAAAACTACAAGCCATAGATAGAATAGGAGCTTGGCTAGCTATACTCACAATCAGCAACTCTCCCTACCCATCACTTCACTCATATCTGTAACTCACCTTGAAACTGCACAACATTCGCACCCTGTCTCAAATCCCACACACCAACAGTTCCATTCTCACCAGAAGTACACACAACCGAAGCATTGCTTTCAAATACACGCAATGTGGTCAAGTTGCCGTGCTGAGTGGGAAGACGATGCAGAGGGCCTGCCGAGAGACGAGTTGGGTCGAGGACAGAGAGGAATTGGTCTGATGAGATAGAAGCGAGACCAACAGATGTCCTGTGTATGTCGAGGACGTATACGTCTGTGCCGAGGGAGAGGCCGTCGGCGCAGTTGAGTGTGTACATGATGGCTATGATGAGTGTTAGTGAGTTTGTGGATGGTATGCGAAGAATTTGATGAGCTCAAAGTATCGATGAACGTAACAGCCCGGAGAGGGAGATAAATAAGAATGGGTTTGTTTGTGAGCCTACCTTGGACAGTCAAATTATATCACTATTATCCTTAAGTAGGTACTTCAAGTCTGATGATATTGAGACCCAAATGTTGAAGATTGAAGTCTTCAAAGTCCCACTTTTCGTTGTGAATGGCGGCCTCGATAACTGAATATTGCCCAATTTTGGGCTCATCTGGACAGAACTTCAGATTCGCATGAAACAAATCAATTCCATATTGGTGATCCCTAATACGTTTTTTCATAGGCTATGTCTAATGCTTTCAGACACCGCAGCCGCTTGAAGGACTTTGTTGTACTATACTGTCAACAGTCACGCCTAAGCAAGAACAGCACATGCATGATGCCAACATCTCTGATCTTACATATATTTTACAATTATTATCCATCGCTCATATTTGGTACAGTACTCCGTCTATCGTCAAGCATTCGAAAACCAATCGCAACAGCAATTGCCAATCCCAAGGAGAAGAGTTCTTGTGTTTCACCTCCTCCCCTATAACGCCAAATTCATCTATTCCTCTCCGTTGTTTTGGGGGTATTTCCTTTTTCCATCCTGTCCATCCTGCTCATTTCCATCACGAACGATCGTTGGAATTGTGAAGATGTCTCTCGTTGACTCCGCGAAACGCTCGTTTGCCTACCTCGTAGCTGCTGATCATGATGGCGCATGCTGGAGCAACCTTAAGGGTTCGTGGGATCCATCCCTTCCATAGTCCTGAGGCTCCTTCGGTCTTGAAAATGTGCCAGAGGAGGCGTGCCATACTGCGCTCCTCGGGGGCTGCTACTGCGCTGGCACTGCTTTGTTTGGCCTTTTTGGAGCTGTCTTGGTAGATCTGTGTTCGTGTCTTTCCGACGTCAAAAGGCGTTGTGACAAAAGATGCGAACGCCCCAGACAGAGCACCAGCTGTGAAGGCATCCACAAAGGTTTCGGTATGGTTCTCCTGCACCTGCGATCGTCTCCTTGCTTCTGACAGATCCTCCTCGAGTGGCAATGAGTGACCGTGGCGTTGTTCACGATAATCCGTCAATCTCGATCGTATCGACTCGTATCCCCACCAGTAAAGCCCTGAGAAAGGAACATCTCGCCAAAGGGTCAATGTCAAGCCTCTCCATAATGCAGTATATCCATGTGATCCCACCATCTCCTTCACGCTCTCGAAAGCTTCCACAAGGTGATTTGTCGTCGAAGCTCCGTGAGCGGCCTGCATTCGTGTCTTGACAAGTTCGATCGGGCTCACAGCGGTGGCTGCTAGGACACGAGCAGCTGAGCCAGCAGTCAAAGGTGCCGAGGTATCAGAGAAATGCGAAAATGGGCTCTTCGGGTTAAATCGCAAATAATCGTAACCGGTGAAGTAAATAATATTCGAGGGGACCGCCATCACAAGCGTGGGCGATAATCCTCGCCAGAGAGTTGTAATGCCCTCATTGCGTGCAATCTTTCGCAAACCATCAAAGGTAGAGCTGAAGGTTCGGCGCTGTACCTCCTCGACGGCACATTCGGCGGGTGCTGGAGGCGCGACGATACCATCTATCCTGGGCGCAGCGAGACAGAATTCGGCGTTGCCACCAGAGAAGAAAACTTCGCGACAGCAGGATGTGATACCGAGTTCGGCGGTTTGGGCGGGGGAGAGCGAGGTGGTAGTAATTGCGAGTTTAGAGAAATCGACGGTCGATCGAGGAGCCTTTTGCGACTGAAGACGCACGCGGACGACATCGAGGGGCGTGACTGTGCAACGCTGATTAGCATAAATCTGATCGAGGATGAAAAGAGACATACCAAGTAATGACGTTAATAAACTGCCCGACATGGCCGACACCATCTTCTGCGTCGCTGTGATATCAACAACTCCATTATTGCTACTCCCAGCTCCTGCCGCTGGTATTGATTTACTCCCACTGAGGATATCCCTCCCGTCGTTGGGTCCCGTTGGTTCGGCATCCATCATATGGCGTAGCGAAAACTCGTCATCGGCTTGGAGGGGGTTCTGGTGGTGATTGTGGTGGTGGTCGTAGCCACCGGGGCGATTTGTGCCGGCAGTGGCCATTATTGGGGTAATTCGAGTATATACGTATTCTCTTCAGTTCATGGTCGAGCAATTGGGGAGGGAATCTGGTCAAAATCTGATAAAAAAGAAGAGCACTAGAATCTCAGGGAGAAGGAAGGGGTAGTATATATGTGTAGGTTGTCGAGATAAGGAAAAGGCAAGCTGAGGTGTCGATGACGATGACTCGATGGTAGCGGTTTTGGTGGAGAGGTTTCGCAGTAGTGGCGATCTAAGGCAGAGAAAAAAGCACCCTTTTGTCCCTGATCGAAACAAAACAATCGATGAGACGCTATGTTTGCGACGTTGACATTTATTTTTTAGAGTTCCGTTCTGGAAGTTGAATGCCGAAAGGTGATTGATAAAAGTGTCTTTGCTGTGGAATTAAAAAGAAAAAGACAGACTCCCCGGACGAAATCCCCGAGGCCGGCCGGAGTAGGAGGAAACGATTCGGTCTGTCGGTCGGTCGGCTAGTATCGCACTCTATCAAATTGCGCTTCAGTAGTGCGACCCAGAGAGAGGAGGAGTCAATTAGCGATGCTCTCTCGTTATTTCATGTATATTCTGCATCGTTTGCTTTTTACTATACTTGTCGCATTTCCTCCTTACCAAGCAAATAAACCAAAATTTATGGCGATATCGCCCCCCAATGTTTTGCTAAGCCCGGGGTCGGAGCATCGGGGATTGGTGCACAAAAAACGGTTTGGGCCCTGTGAGGTACGTACCGCGTGTATGTGGTCATTTTAGCTGTCACCTGCTTCTCTTGGGCTTCGTGAGAGCCGCAGATTTCCGTAGCATGATGTCACGGAGGGTTTTGATTGGTTCAATGCATATCTTTTGGACAAAATGGTTGTTAGAGCTTCAGCAAGCTATGTCAGTGGCTCAGGGACCAAGAATACGTATTGTGATTAACAAAATGAGGAATAAATCGAATCTCAGTCCCCTCAATATAAGAATTATAGTGATGCTATTTGCTGAAATCATCATCTGTCATGGTGGCATTTTCTAAGGACAAGCAGAAGATCTTGGAGTATAACGTTAAGCGTGCTTGGCTGCTGATCGTTGTGATAAGATTATCAATCTCTCATTATCAATCTCCCTCCCAAGCATTGGCCTCAAGGAGCAAGAAAATATCAGACCTTAATATAAGATAAGGTATCAAAATAAACTTAGTAAAAGATATCCTAAACTTATCCTAAGTTATCTAGATCTTTTAATTATTTAGGATCGAGGTCCTAAGTTTTCTTTCCTCCCCTAGATTGGCTACTCCTTTCCAACAAACTCAAGCACCGCCTTAACAAACCCTTCAGGATTTTCTTCTGCAATCCAATGTCCACTCTCAGGCACCGAAGCAACACTAAAAGTCCCGCTTTCATGAACTTCCCCCATCATCTGCTCAGCCATCTCACTGAACTGATTCATCCCGCCGTTAAGACCCAAGGCTCTCACTTTGCATTTCCCATGCTTGGCAACCCACTCACGATTCTCCTCCGAATCCTTGCCGAACTCCCTGTAAATATTAAAGCCACAGCGTAGAGCACCAGGACGACTAAACATTTTGACATAGTAGCTCAAGTCCTCTTGGGTAATTGCTGATGAGTTGTACGAGTATTTGTCGTAGAAGTGGCCGAGGTAGATCTCCTCCTTGCCTGAGACGAGAGCTTCGGGGAGATCGAGAACTTGGTGAAACCAGAAGTGGAAATGCTGCACGCCGTGTATTTTCCAGGTGTCCTCGTGGGCTTGAGTTCCTGGGAGGGGACATTCTCCCCAGATGACAGATGCTGTTCGATCGGAATATCGTGAGGCAAATGTATATGCTATCATACCGCCGATATCATGGCCAACGATGTGGACTGGGTCTTTGATAGAGAGATGGTCAAGAAGTCTCAGGATATCAGATGCCATGGCTGTCTTGGTGAAGCCTGTCTGAGTTCTGTGCGAGTATCCAGCTCCACGATAATCTGGGGTGATTACACGATATCTAAGTCGGATGAGTATCTGCCCTATGGCTAACAGATAAAACTTACCCAGCTGAGTATATAGGACCAATGACTTTTCGAAATTGGTATGAAGTTTGAGGAAAACCATGGATCAAGACCACTACACCTTTCTCACCCCCATCAGGCTTGGTATCAGTGTAAGCGATGCTGACACCATTGTCGAGAGAAGCTGTATAATAGGCACGGTCCATTTCGATATGTATTATAGTAAGGCGTTAAATTAAGGTGTTTTTATGGTTCTTTTAGTGGTGAGTTATCTCTTTTATATGCCCATTGCGAGCTCTGATATCGCTGTAGTACGACATTGGCATGACGCTCGATGACGCTGAAGACTGTGGATTACAAAGCGATCATCTCGAATTCACGATGAATTGCAAGCAGGGGCGTAATAGCACCAATGAATGTCGCCGGTATTTTTTCAAGAACAGATTCGAGGTTTCTTGGTCGACAGATTGTTTGAAGTTGAGGATGTATGTCCATTAACGTTAGGCTACCACGGGTGATGGAGAGCTACTAAGGACTATATTCATGTCGTCTCAACGCTTTAACACTAGCAGCACATATTCCACCAATGTCCAATATAAATATCAATTTTAAGAACCAGTAACTAGGTAGTTACTATAAACTATCTCAAAGCAAAGACGTGGGCGCAAACAATAACACTCTCAACTATAGGGTATGCATCACAAACCATATGTGCCATATTTAACTGTCACTCTTACCAAGACGCCCCGATGCTCTGTATAGATACATTAAATGACCCATTTTGATTGAGTGAATAGCCTGGCAATTGCAGCGCATTAACTCATATCCCACACAGCATTCAACATCGTTACGCGTTGATGAAC